ATAACATTTAGTGTTTCTACTGTAGATATCTGAGGTAAATGACTTATATAAGGTTATCAGCTCTATAATTAAAGTAAAATAGACCCATAGGAGTCGGCCACTATGAATAAATATTTGGCTTAATGATTTAAGCTACAATCATTTGAAAAAATGTTGTATGTGGTTTTTGAAATGTTACTTAAAGACATAAACTTCACCATCAGATCTTTACATTTTCTGCATTTTTTTCTTTTGATGGCTAAAAGTCTCTGCTCCTCCTGACTCTGTCTGTGAATCTGCTCCTCCTAATGTATAAACAGGTTATTTACTAAGTCAAACTGAGGAGATGGAGTTTTCAAAAAGAACGTGGAAGCACGAGTGTGAATTACAAGCGTATTCGATCAACATGGGTAAAGTCGAAAAGCAGTTTTGGAGTATTTAAAAGTTCATATTTATGTCTGTCAGCGTAAAATAAAAAGTGACTCAAAGATAAACCTCACCTCTGATGGAATATAGCAGCACTAAGCCTCTATATGAACGGTTTTCAGTAGGTGAGGTGCACCCCCCCGACGGGGGGGGGGCGCCAAAGAGCCACTGGGGAGGCACGACACGCGTGAAAAAATAACGGTCCACATCTGCAGCAGGATTGATATCGGTGATTGTGCGTGCAGTGTTAACTGTAAAAATTATGTTGCCACTCTGACAACCTACTCATAGTTTGGAGCGTCACCTTTTTTTGCCTCATATACGCCGTGCCTCCTCCCGTACACCGCATGGACTGCACCTCCTCCTATACACCTCATGGACCGTGCCTCCTCCCGTACGCCACGTGGACCGTGCCTTCTTGCGTACAGTGCATGGACCACACCTCCTCCCATACGCCGCGTGGATCACACTTCCTCCCATATGCCATGTGGACCACACCTCCTCCCGTACACCACGTGGACCACACCTCCTCCCGTACGCCGCGTGGACCACACCTCCTCCCGTACGCCACATGGACCACACCTCCTCCCGTACGTCGCGTGGACCGTGCCTTCTCACGTACACCACATGGACCGCACTTCCTCCTGTATGCCAGGTGGACCAGGCCTCTAGATCAGAACCAGCAGTAAACCTGAACTAAACCAGGACTAAAATTAGGACTAAAACCAGGTCTAAACCAGGACTAAATCTAGGTAGAAACTAGGTCTAAACCAATATTTAAGCAGAACTACACCATACCGCACGGGGGGGGGTTGGCTGTCTTTATCTACTCTAAGGGACGGCTTGCATTTACCCAATTTGAAAACCCCTGCTCTATAAAACTGTTTACTTTCTGTATTTAAGAAAGGAGCCCAGGTTTGGCCTTTTCCTGCTCGTGCCAAAGTGACAAGACAGTGCTCATGGAGGGACGCGCGAGAATTGAACTTAATATGGAATTGAATTGAAACACCACAATTTGATTCAAGACTTTTTTGATAATTGTTCAATCCCTAAATAAAACAACAGATAATCGGGTGTTCTGGATAAACCTTCCTGCATTACCACTAATGCATCGGCAGGTTTTATCTTTAGTCCACAAGAATTTCTACAGTCGAATACAGCTCTCGATTTTAGACACTTTTGGATTGATCCTGAACCGTTGGAAACAATGCTATATTTGTCAATCTTCACAAACACAGGACAGTTAACTTTTAGCATAATTAAAACATTAAACATCTTCTTGTTTTGATCGTGATGAAGTGGACTGTAGTTAATGGCCTGCTCCGGTCCTGATTGGTCCAGTGGGACATCATTACCTCGGCCCTCTGTGGACATGTGACCGGACTGCTGCGTCTGGTTGGTCCCTGAGGTCACATTGTGTTCGATGAGATAAACAATGATGAAACTCCTCGGGGACGTCTCTCTGCTGCTACTTTGAACGGAGAACTTTGAGCATCAAAAGTCAAAACTGTTTGGGAGGTTAAATGCAAATGGCTCAGTGGCAGAGAGCTCGTCTACCATTATACTTTTGTGTCTTTGGGCAAGACACTTCACTCTAGTGGTTTAAATGTTTGTACTTATTTCATCACTCACACTCTGGACTAAATGGCATCACATATCTGGGAGTGAGTCACCAGTTGCTCTTGTATTTTCGCCAAAACTTTGTCCAGTTTCAAGTCTAACGGAAATGGTTTACCATTCAGCCTCATTTTGTATTTTGACAAATTTTTCCATTACTAGTTTTCACATATTTAGAGCAGCTGGTGTCATCAACATTCTCCAGGGGTGTGATGCGAACTGTAGGCTCTGTTCTGTCTGTTACTCCAATTAAAACTTTAATCTGTGTTTCGTTTTAACACATTAGTACGTATTCGGGTCGTTTTCGGTGTGGATACAGTGTTCATCCACACTAATCCGACTAAAATTGACTCCAGAGATGGAACGATCTGGTGGTGTCAGCTCCCATGGATTCATCTGAGTACAGATCTGATCCTGCACTGTGTGGACGCCTGAAAACACTGATACGCTGATGTAGGTCTGTGCACCGCGAAGTAATTCACCGCCAAAACGCTAAGAGGCTAGAATATAATCATATATATGGTCTGTGTGTACGACCTGCAGACGTATAATCTCTGAAAGATTTTAAATGAACCATCTCCAACACGACAGAAACACAGAACAGACTCACCATCAGCAGAACACCCCTCTGTCACAAAAAGAACACTCATATTCCACTGAGTCGTGTCATTTAGTCCGACAGAAGCTGAACCGCATCAGTGCACAATAGCGACCACCCAGTTTATGCAAATTAGTCATGCATTTTTAAATTTAGTTTCTGTAAAACGTAAACACATATGCTCAAAGCTGTGTGGATAAAGGAAGGATTGCGGACACAGAAACGGCGTGTCTGGACGCAGATTGTTTCTGATACGGTGATACGGTGATACGGTGATACGCGGATTCGTTTCAGTGTAAACAAGGTCTTAAACAAGTTTAGTGTTAGTGCAGCCCGTAGTAAGGGGACCCGCTGAAGGGGACCGCACTGACGCTGTGAGTCCAGGTGAATCTGTTTATGCACGTAAACATGCACATAAGACACACCAAAGAACCAAAGCAACTTGAACTTGCTGGTACATGCGCTTCTGCTTGCAGCTTGCACCATTTCACTCCCGCAGCCACAGTATGAGGGCAAAAAGTATTACAGGTTTTGCCTGAGATGCTGACAAGAATCCCTCGTTCATAAGTATGGGACATTTGGGGGTGATATGTAATGGAAAAATCTCTGACAGCCTGTTTACCTGCTCAATACAGCCCCTTCTCTGAGTAATTGGCTGGGACACGGGGAGCGAGCTGGAGACACCATGGCCTAACACCAAAGGACATCTCGGTTTGTCGTTACGCCACGGACACAAACACGATACAAACTTTGTTCAAAGTCTTTGTTGTACTCCTGCTTCAGTTGTTTCCACTTGTTTTGATCTGCGCAGCGTCACTGTCCTCGTACCCTCCTTGTTCAAACCTTTCCTCTACCTCTTAGAAAAGGTTTTTATGCTTTCTGCCATCCACTCTTTTCATCATTTGTAGTTCTTCCAGCGTACTTTTTTTTTTTTTTATTGTTTTGGCTCGAGACCAACGTTTGCTCTGGGTCGCCATCTAGCAGTGCGTCATCACATCAGAAGAGCATCCCAACGAGCACGTGCTGAAGGACTGGAATTATTTTTAAGAGGAGTAATGATTTTAATTACTGGGCATGTCTTAAAATCATGTGCTCAACTTCCTTACTGATGAGCAGCAGAGAGTAAGGGACGGATGTTACTCATTCTCTCCACTGTCCCTTAGCACTGGTGAGCCCCAAGGGTGTGTCCTCAGTCTGCTGCTTTTCTCACTTTACACCCATGACTGCATCTCTACATCTGAATTGTTAATTTTGCTGATGACATAGATGTCATGGGTTTGATCTCAGGCGATAATGAGACAGCGCACTGCTCATAGATAGACCATATGATAGACTGGTGTCAAAATAACAACATTGAACTTAAACTAATGAACTTCTATGGATTTTCGCAGGAACAAACAGAACAGCCACCACACCATTGCCATGAAATTGTCACCAGTGAAGTGACTAGACTTTTTTAAATAACTGGGGGTGCTCATAGCCCAGGACCTGAGCTGGACCCCACACTTCACTTTCCTGCTGAAGAAAGCCCATCACCGCCTGTACCACCTAAGGCGACTGAGGGACCTGAAGCTCTCACCACGAGTGCTGAAAAACTTTACACCTGCCTCAGGGACAGCATCCTGACAGGGAGTATCACTGTGGATGGAGAGAGCTTTGCTTGGCAGAGAACACCCTACATCCTGGGGGACATGTGCATTGATACTAACGCAAAGCCCAGAGTATTGTGCAGGACATCAGTCACCCTGACCACGGACTGTTCTACCTGCTGCCATCAAGAAGCTGCTACCGTCTTCTCAGGGCTAAAACTGAGAGGATGAGGAGGAGCTTTTATCCTGAGGCCATAAAACTGTTAAACCAAGAGTGAGCCACTCCTAACTCTCCTCTCCTCATTTGCATGCATGCACTTAATATATTTACTGTATGTGTTTATGTTGCTGGTGAAGAATTTCTCTACACATTCCTTAACCCATTAAACTTCAGCTGTATTTGGCACATTTTGATATGCCACTTTTCTGCTAGAGATTTCCCTCCACCTGCTTAGACATGGAGACATCTATATTGCATTTAATCAGACGCAGGTTTGAAAAACATTCATAGTTACAGTGAATTATTTCATGCAAAGCACCAAACATCTTTGTGGAGATGAAGGAAAAGGTTGCCAACTCTAGCAATAATTTATTTTCCCTCTGCTGTGATTAGATGTTGGAACATGATGCCTATTGTCTGTGGATAGGCTTTATTTAAAGTTTTGAAATGTCAGAGGTACTCTACAATCATAATATATAATAATATAATGCATAATTCATGTATTGGGGCAGCTGTACAGTCATCAAGCAAAGGATAGAATCAAAACCAATCTTTACAGGTTAAATGGTCTTTATTGAAGCTCAGTGGTGACAGCAGAACGCAGCAGCTGTAGACACAGCGTCCTCACTTTGGACAGCTTCAGTCCATAGATCAGAGGGTTGAACAGCGGCTGAATGACAAGAAAATAAAGAGACAAGAGCACTCGGATCACGTTGGGCACACTCTGTAGGTCAAAGCGGCTCTGCAACACCTCAAAACACACTCCGAACGAGAAATTTATGACAGAGGCCAGGTGCGGCGTGCAGGTGCTGAGCGCTTTCTGCCGTGTTTGAGACGAGCCTCGAAAACACACTTTTAGAATGCACACATAACTCACAAACATGAAAATCAAAGGTCCAAAAACAGACAAGATCGTGATGAGGAGCCCGTAGATGTTGCTGACGGAAGTATCAGAGCATGCAAGTTTAACTACTGAGTAGTTATTACAGATGACTTTAGGAATGTACCCTCCACACAGTTTTAAAGAAAGTGTCAAAAGAACTAAAGTTAGAATCAAGACAAAAGAGTAGAACCAGGGGAATATAAAGAGGAGCAGGACTCTGGCCGAGGTCATACGAGCTTTATAATGCAAAGGGAAGGTTATAGCCAGATATCGATCGTATGTAATGACCGCGAGGACCACAAACTCTACAGAACCATAGAAGTGACCGAAGAAAATCTGTAAGAAACAAAACGTAAAGGTGATGGTGTGGACATCACGGAGGATTTGCACTAAAAGCATAGGAAAAACCGCAAAACTCCCCCAAATCTCATTCAGAAATAAACTACAGAGAAGCACGTACATGGGCTCGTGGAGGGTTCGGTTGAGGCAGATGACCACAATGAGGAGCACGTTGGACACAAGGACCAGAACGTACGTGGTCAATATGAGCAGAAAGTACAGCCATTTTACAGGCCCCAGGTCAGTGTAGGCTCCCAGCGTGAAGTGGGTCACCACACTGGAGTTCACCATCCTCCTCCTCACAGACATCAGTTTGGTCCAAAAAGTTCATCCAGGCAAAAGAAAAAACAGCAAAGTGACTTCAAATGTTTGAAGAAATTCTTCATTCATATTAACAGTGTAGCAGAACAGGTTTCTGTCTTGTTTATTTTTCCCTTGCTGAGTTTTCCCTTCTATTTGAGCTAAATCTGTCTTGCCCCTGTACAGATATATTGTATAAGCAGTTCTTCAAGTCAAAATAACCAGACTGTCACAGCAAAACTCCACTCTGGTTTCTTTGAGTGCTGATAAACTAATCAGTGTGAATAATTAGGATGCTCTGAGCATAAGGTAAGTGTTGAATAACTTGGAACTAGTTTTCATGGTTTAAGACCGTAAAAATGTAGTACGGAGACTTTAAAATGCTAAAAATAACATACAAAATCAAATCCAGTATTACAGCTGTTGAAAATGTTTGTATTAAATATGATTTCTAGAGCTGCAAAGTTAGTCACAATCATATCAGAACACAATTAACAAATCACAAAGGCTGTGATTTTTTAAAATACCATAATTTCCTCCACAAATAACAGTCTCATGTGTTATTCTGCACAAAAACTGCTGACCCTGTAGTTCAGAGCTGTACAAACGTGTTCTGAAATGTGATTCTTGGATTAGTTCAGTATTTTTGTCATTTAAAATGTAAACTTTGAACAGAATCCCATAATTAAAACATAAATCACAAATCTAATCTGTATCACCATGTCTGTCAGAAAAATCACAATTAAATAAATTGTTCACAGAAACACAAGGACCTTAGAAATATCTGCTTTAAAACAAGTCCAAAAACATAAAACATAACTGAAGGTTCAGGCAAAACGTAAAAAAAATAATGAAACGTGAACACATAATGCACAGATAAGATTACACAGGTATCTTTCAGCAGCACAATCAGCAGAGAAGACAAACACAAATTGAAGTAATTTTTATCCCAGATGCCCTGCCTCACAGACAGAGCGGTGATTCCATGCTGCAGTGACGCACGCTCTCTTTATACCTGAGCTCTTTGTTGTTGTTCCCTCTGAGAGTTCTCCAGGGCCCAGCTCGGTCTGAGAAGTTTAAGAGAAACTTTGCAACAACACAGACGTGAAACCTGCACTATATCATATTGTACAATTGTGTGAATTTTGCTAAAACCAAATAGTGTGCCAAAAAGAGATGTTAAAAATGCTCATTTACATTCAATTATAAAAGAAAACAAAGTAATGACAGTCTCAAGTCTAAAATCACATCAGGTTTCTCTGCCAAAAGTTGAGTTCAAATGTTTGTACTGCTCTTCCTTTGGCTTAACACAATGTCACTCGGGGACGCTCGAGTGGATTCGTGTATAGGGCGCTCTGGATTGTGGGGCGCGCAGTCGTTTTTTGATGGGGTTGGAGGCTCAAGAGCGCATCTAATAGCCTGGAAAATACAGTATTCTTACTTTTAAAGATAGTATAATGTGTTTATGCTGCTGGTGAAGACTTTAAGTACGCACAATACTGTACTACGTGCTTTTGTGTATTTGTGTGTTTTTTGTGGCAAATAAACTAACCTAAAGATTGGAGCACCCCATACTGCTACATGTGCATTGTGTCACCATAGTAAGTTCTGAAAATCCTACCCTAGAGATGTAGAACACCCCCAGAGTGAAGTCAGTGGATGATGCCAAAGTCTCCACTCTAACTCACTCAGTTTTACTTTTTAAACTTCATTAACCCTTTTAAACTTTGACATAAAAGGCTCCAAATACAGCCACTTTTCTTGAGGAGACATCTATCTTGCATTTAGTCAGATGCAGATTTGAAGAACATGCATAGTTACAGTAACGTGGCTCATCTAAAATAAAATCTGATCAGTTGTTGTGGTGACGCCACCTATTTGTCTCCATGGAAATAGATAAGTTCAGTGCCACACTGTGGAATATTCCAGGAAAAGCACCTTTTTCAAGTTAATTCCCTCTGCAGTGATAAGATGTTGTGCTAATCCCAATATAGGGAGGAACAAGAGGCTTATTGTCTGTGGATGGTTTATTTAAAGTTCTGAAATGCCAGAGGTACGCCACAAATAATGCATGATATTTCATGTATTGAGACAGCTGTAGAATCAGAACCAAACTTTACAGATAAAATGGTCTTTATTGAAGTTCATTGGTGACGGCAGAACGCAGCAGGTGTAGACACAGCGTCCTCACTTTGGACAGCTTCAGTCCGTAGATCAGAGGGTTGAACAGCGGCTGAATGACAAGAAAATACAGAGACAAGAGCACTCGGATCACGTTGGGCACACTCTGTAGGTCAAAGCGGCTCTGCAACACCTCAAAACACACTCCGAACGAGAAATTTATGACAGAGGCCAGGTGCGGCGTGCAAGTGCTGAGCGCTTTCTGCCGCGTTTGAGACGAGCCTCGAAAACACACCTTTAGAATGCACACATAACTCACAAATATGAAAATCAAAGGTCCAAAAACAGACAAGATCGTGATGAGGATCCCGTAGATGTTGCTGACGGAAGTATCAGAGCATGCAAGTTGAACCACCGAGTAGTTATTACAGCTGATTTTAGGAATGTAGCCTCCACACAGTTTTAACGAAAGCGTCAAAAGAACTAAAGTTAGAATCAAGACGAAAGCGTAGAACCAGGGGAATATAAAGAGGAACAGGACTCTGGTGGAGGTCATACGGGTTCTGTACTGCAAAGGGAAGGTTATAGCCAGATATCGATCGTATGTGATGACCGCGAGGATCAAAAACTCTACAGAAGCATACAAGTGACCGACAAAAATCTGTAAGAAACAAAACGTAAAGGTGATGGTGTGGACATCGCGGAGGATTTGCACTAAAAGCATAGGGAAAACCGCAAAACTCCCCCAAATCTCGTTCAGAAATAAACTACAGAGAAGCACGTACATGGGCTCGTGGAGGGTTCGGTTGAGGCAGATGACCACAAGGAGGAGCACGTTGGACACAAGGACCAGAACGTACGTGGACAATATGAGCAGGAAGTACAGCCATTTTACAGGCCCCAGGTCAGTGTAGGCTCCCAGCGTGAAGTGGGTCACCACACTGGAGTTCACCATCCTCCTCCTCACAGACATCAGTTTGGTAAAAAAGGCTCATCCAGGCAAAAGAATAGGACTGGATTACATTAAAAGTTCTAAATGAGCTAAATGAGCTAAATGAGTCTTGTCTCAGTACAGATATATTGTATAAGCAGTTGTTGAAGTCAAAATAAATCTGCAGTGAACCAGATTGTCATGGCAAAACTCCAGTCTAGTCTCTCTGAGTTGTAAAAAGTGCTCATAAAGTCATCGGAGCGGATAATTAGGATGCTCTGAGTGCATAAGTGAGGAATAACTTTGAGCTTCTTCTGGTTTTCATGGTTTTAAGACCGTAAAAATCTAGTACAGAGACTTTAAAATGCTAAACGTAACATACAAAATCAAATCCAGTTGGGGTTTAAAACTTACAATATTACATACAGCTGGGCAGGTCCATTTGAATAATTCTGGTATAAAATATGATTTCTATCGCTGTCACTAGAGCTGCAAAGTTTGTCACAGTCATAACAGAAATGCAGTTTGAATCGACACAATTAACAATACACCAAGGCTTTTTTTGAAAATACCATCATTTCCTCCACAAACAACACAATCTCATGAGTTATTCTGCACAAAAATCTGCTATTCCTGCAGTTCGGAGCTGCCCAAACATGTTCTGAAAGGTGATTCTTGCTTTAGCTTCAGTTCAGAGTTCAGTGTTCTTGTAAATGCTTCAGGAAGAGTTTAAATTGTGAACAGAATTCTTCAATTAAAAACATAAATCGCAAATCTAATCAGTATCTCCATGTTTGTCATAAAAATCACAATTAGATAAATTGTTCACAGAAACACAAGAACCTTAGACACATCTGCTTTAAACAAGTCCAAAAACCTAAAATATAACTGAATGAAAACGTGAACACATAATGCACAGATAACACGACACATGTATCTTTCAGAGGCACAATCTGCAGAGAAGACAAACACAAATTAAAGTAATGTTATGCCAGATGCCCTGCCTCACAGACGGGGCGATGGTTCAATGCTGCAGTGACGTACACTCTCTTTATACCTGAGCTTTTTGTTGTTGTTCCCTCAGAGTTCTCCAGGGCCCAGCTCAGTCTGAGAAGTTTAAGAGGAACTTTGCAACAACACTCAAACTCTTTATGTTTTGGAACAAATTGTGAATAAATTAGCTGTACAACTGTCAATTGTAAAAGTAACATCGGATTTCAAAACATTACTATCATATCTTGTACACAAATGACCATCCACTATTAACTTTTAATTTTTATTAGTGCATAGCAAATGTGAAACCTACATTGTCATATTGTATAATCATGTTAGGGTTAGATGTTAAAAAGGCCCATGTACATTAATTAATAAGAGAACATTAAACAGTGACGAGTCTAAAATCACATCAGGTTCATTTGCCAAAAGTTGAGTTCAAATGTTGGTGCTCCTCGTCCTTTGGCCTAAAGGCTGGTTTATGGTCCAGTGCCAAATCTACACACAGCTCCCTGATGCACATGAACACCAAGCAAAAAGTTTGTTGTGTTTGCTGTGCCACATGCACGCTGTGCATGTGTGCAGTATGTGTATGTATGTGTGGTCAAAACGTTACTAAGGACGCACTCACACTAGGACTTTAGAACCATGTCGTGCTCAAGCACGATTGCTTAGGGTTCTACGGCTGCACTCGCATCTGCTCATCCGAACCGGCCACGGCCCAATGACGTTTACATGTGTTAACGCTTTTAACAGAGAAAAATACCTATTAAATAGTGACGCAGGTGTGCGTCCTTGCCCTGATACATGCTCCTCTCTGAGTTTGTGGAGATAAAAACAGCGCAGAGCAGTGATGACAGCCGGAGACGAGAGGCAGCGAAACTTCTGTCACAATCTTTGTTGGAGGTAAGCACGGATTCACTGTGTTTTATGTGTGTGTTTTATTCCTCGTATGAGTAACACCAGGGCACCTGACAGGGATCATATAGTGAAGTTATGTGTGTACATGTACATGAGCAACAGCGCCATGCTTTGGCCCACCTCCTCCAATTGGGCCAAAGTCCCAACTGTGCCTTGACTGGGCACGGTTCGATTGCGCTCACACTGGACAAACGTTCCGCCCTTTAGGGGCAATCTGTGCTTGGGCACGGTTCTAAAGTCCTAGTGTGAGGGCACCCTAAGTGTAGAATTTCTGGCAAACACAGGGGCTGTGACCATAACCAGAATCTCAAAGCCAGGCCCTAACCTTAACCATATCCCTACAGCCCAACAAATGTGGAAACAGAGCTGACATCGAAAAAACTGTCAAAGCATATTGAGCCCATGAACAGTTCTTTCTGTGATAGAAAACAGTGGACAGAAGGCCTGGAGGGAAAGCTGGAGTTGAAACCTTTATGAATCTCTATGTTGAACGATCCACACATCCTGCAGAACATACAGACTAATGCTGATGCTGATACTGAAATTTCAAACTGGATTTTGATACTACAGAAGAAACTCGATATTCAATACTGATTCTGATACCACGATAATAATAATAATAATAATAATATATTTTCTGCACTATTAGGCGCTCTGGATTATAAGGTGCACTGTCATTAAATGGTCTATTTTCAAACTTTTTTCACAAATAAACCACACCGTACTTTAAACAAAACCCAACAGTGTGATGGGTCAGTGGGACTTTGTTTGTGGCGTTCACGGTGACTCTGGGCTTTGTTCAGTTGTGGCGTGTAGGGAGGGTGCTGTCTGGGACCGCTGGATTGTCGGCGTGTTCGCAGTGACTCAGTTGTTCAGTTGTGTCTAGAAGTGACACATTACACTCGTGTTTTCAGGTCGTTTCCATAGTGGTCCATGGATATATACTGGTCTATGTTCCTTTTTTAGTATCAACCAGCTCAAATCAGTATCTAGTTTCGATACTTGTTTTAATCTCAATTAGTATCTGATTTTCGATAGTTTTGACAACCCTAGACACGCCCTGCAAAAGTGAGGAGCAGCAAACTCGGCCCTGTTCTGGCCGTCAGAGGTCACATGACTTATTGCCACCACCTGCTCCTTCAGGTCTGACGGAGCCTGTTCATCATCAGAACAAACTAATACTCACGTCTGTTATAAAAGAGCTGTCTGCACACGCGTCTGTGTCTGTGTCTCTTCAGGGTTCAGTCTCTTCACACTCATGTATCTCCTCTTTCTACACCTCCTCCTCACATTCTACTTTTTAATAGTGACTACTTCACTTTTTTGACAGGTCCAGTTTTTATGCTTTTTCTTCATGCTTCTTACAGATGTGAATGTTTCCAATGGTCATTTATACAACTTGGCATTTCTTGGAACAGCGATACCATGACATAATGAACTGGAATGAACTGTAGACAGTCTATGGTCTGTGCTTTCTTCAAGGTTTTGATGTGATTTTTGTATTACATGTGATATGTCCTGATGTAGCCACTTTTTAACTTGTTTAAAAATTCAAATTTTTCAGTTAAAGTTGACTGGATTCATTTGTGCAGGTAGATGACACACGTTTACAGTGCTGTCATTAAGACAAAAACACAAAATTTCAAACTCAGTTTCAGTACAAAGGGAAAGTGTTCATTTTGTCTTCTTATGTACATTAGAGTAGATGAAAGTCCAAAAGGCTCACAGCTGAAACATGCAATGTACATGACAAGATAGATACTTCTCCTACTGTATTGTGTTTAAAAAGAATCCAACTTGTTAATACTAAGGGAAAGGTTTGATATTCATTTTGATATCACAATTTGAAAAAAAATTCTTAGACAATACAATATAATTTTCAACAAAAAGTAATAGTTCTGTCCTTAATACATCCCTGTGGTCTTATACTGATTCTGATACAGCTCAAACTATTCAGACAAAGTCACATTTTTCCTGTTTATTTTTTCATTATCGATACTTCAAAGAAGTATCTAGTTTTGCTACTACATTAAGTATCAGGTTAAGGTTTAATCACCTTCAAAAATAAGTCAGCCTGGGGCTGTGTGAGGGGGTAGGTGAAATTGGGAAATTTAACTGATATCTCAAATGCAGAACAATGTAGGATTACTCAAACCTGCAGGAATCATTCAAAATACAAACTGTGTAAGATAAAGATAAAATACCTGTAATATCTTGGTTTCAAAATTGTTGACCACTGCACATGTTAGTTTTCTTCCTGTAGTGTTCCATTAACCTGCTCCAGTTTGTGTTTGGTGTTTTTCACAATATTCAAATTTCAAACTGGATTTCGGTAGTAAGGAATTTGGAATACTTTTGATGACCCTAGTTTGCACCATGCTAAACTCCACTCCTGTTTCTTACTTTGTTCTTGGGGCCTTCGTGGACTTGGGGTCATTAAAATATATGATGTTTGTCTTTCTTCTGCTTCTGTACATCTCCATTGTTGTCTCTAACGTGCTGCTGGTGTTGGTTATCTGTGTGGATCGGACTCTCCACGAGCCCATGTACCTGTTTCTGTGCCCTCTGTTTGTAAACGAAGTCTTCGGCAGCTCTGCCCTCTATCCTCTCCTCCTGGCACAAATCCTGGAGGACGTCCATGTGATCTCCACCACCATGTGCTTCCTCCAGATCTTTGTGTTGTATTCATACGGAGGGATCGAGTTTGGCACACTCGCCATCATGTCCTACGACCGCTACCTGGCCATCTGCCGCCCCCTGCAGTACAACTCCATCATGACGCCCTGTAAGATCGCAGCTCTCACGACTCTGACCTGGTTCTACTCCATATTTATGAATTTGATCTTCGTGTATGTACTAACTCCTCTAAAGCTCTGTGGAAACTTCATCCCCAAAGTGTACTGCGATAACTTCTGGGTGGTGCGTCTGAGCTGCTCTGACACACTCCTCCGAAATGTCTTCGGTTTGGTGAATAGTTCATGTCGTGCTGTAGGCATCGTCATGCTCATCCTGTACTCATATGGACGGATTCTTCACGTGTGTTTTAACAGCTCCGCGAGCACTCGCCGTAAGGCTCTGAGCACATGTACGCCTCACCTCATCTCCCTCCTGAACTTCTCATGTGGGGGTTTATTTGAGATCATACAGAGCCGCTTTAACATGAACGCTGTGCCCATGGTGCTGCGCGTGTTCCTGTCTCTGTACTGGCTCAGTCTGCAGCCTCTGATCAACCCTCTGGTCTATGGACTCAAGACCAGCAAGATCCGCCTGGTCATCAGAACTCTGCTCTGCCCCAAGTCTGTTATGTGAAGTAAACACAAATAAAGGTGTTCATTTATTAGTCATTTATTAGTAATCATTCAATGTGCATCTTCTGTAATGTTCATCTTTAAAGAGGGGGCAATATACTTTAACTTCAACTTTACTTTAACTGTCGTTTTTGACGGTCCATACAGTCAATATCGAGATTGTGGTGAGAAAATACTTCAGGCATCTTGTTGAGCTTTGATGTTATTCACTCTTTCCAGTCAAATGGAATCGGAGAACTTCCAAAATTGAACTCCAAAGTGTTGATCCGACACTTTGGACTAGGATGGTTGGAGAAGCAGCAATGTCATCGATGGCTGTCATTGGAGGAATGACAGCATCTTGTTCAGACTCATTTCGGACGACATCAGGGACTCTGTATGGAGCATGGGTTGGGAATCTCTATGTTGAACGGTCCACACATCCTGCAGAACATACAGACTAATGATGATACTGATACTGAAATTTCAAACTGGATTTTGATACAAAGGAATAGATTAGATGATTCTGATATCACGATGATAATAATAATAAAAAGTGCAATATTCAGTACTAAATGGTAGTACTTTCTTTTATATTGCCATTTGGTCTTATATTTATGTAATCCGTCAGTCCAGGTCATTTCCATAGTGGTCCATGGATATATACTGGTCGATGTTCCTTTCTTAGTATCAGCCAGGTCAAATCAGTATCTAGTTTCGATACTTGTTTTAGTATCAATTAGTATCTGATTTTCGATAGTTCTGACAACCCCAGACACACTCTGCAAAGGTGAGGAGCAGCAGACTCGGCCCTGTTCTGGCCGTCAGAGGTCACATGACTTAAACTAATACTCACGTCTGTTATAAAAGAGCTGTCTGCACACGCGTCAGTGTCTGTGTCTCTTCAGGGTTCAGTCTCTTCACACTCATGTATCTCCTCTTTCTACACCTCCTCCTCACATTCTACTTTTTAATAATGACTACTTAACGTTTTTGACAGGTCCAGTTTTTGTGCTTTTTCTCATGCTTCTTACAGATATGAATGTTTCTAACAGTTTTTCCTACAACTTGGCTTCTGTTATCAAAAAACAGTTTCACAGAAAATGTATTGTTTCCATATTTCTTTAAATGACTGGTTAGATGTTTCTTGGAACAGCGATGACATAATGAACTGTAATGAACTGTAGATGGTCTATGGTCTGTGCTTTCTTCAAGGTTTTGATGTGATTTTGACTTTGGTTCCGATGATTGACGTGGGTGAGTTCTGGTTTAGACCTGGTTTTAGTCCTGATGTTTGGTTCTGCCCTAAAGGTTTCTTCATGTCTTAGTAGAATGGCTTCATTGAGTGTTGTAAAGGCATTACTGTGTATGACGTCTGCTGTCTGTGCTTGTACATGCGTCATACGTGTGTCTACTTGTATTACATGTGATGTGTCCTGATGGAGCCACTTTTTAATTTGTTTAAATCGGATTTCTCAGTTAAAGTTGAACTGTATTCACTTGGGCAGGTAGATGACACACTTTTACAGTTTTGTCATTAACTAATTCAAAAATACTAAAATTTCAAACTCAGTTTCAGTACTAAGGGAAAGTGTTCTTCTTATGTACATTAGCAGTAGATGAAAGTCCAAAAGTCTTGCAGCTGAAACATGTCAATGTACATGACGAGATAAATACTTCTCCTACTGTATTGTGTTTAAAAAGAACCCAACTTGTTAATACTAAGGGAAAGGTTTGATACTAATTTTGATATCACAATGATCATTTTGAAAAATTTCTTAGACAATACAATGTAATTTTCAACACAAAATAATAGTTGTGTCCTTAATACATCCCTGTGGTCTTATACTGAGTCGGATACACCTCAAACTATTCAGACAAAGTCACATTTTTCCTGTTTATTTATTTTTTCATCATCAATACTTCAAAGAAGTATCTAGTTTTGCTACTTCATTACATATCAGGTTAAGTTTAATCACCTTCAAAAATAAGTCAAATATTTTAACTTCTTGGGTTCTTTTTAAAGACAATGCAGTAAAGTGTGTTTACCTTGTTGACATGTTTGCAGCTGCTGCATCTTCAGAACTGTCACCGGTGTTGGTGGTGACGTGTCGTATATCAGCTGTTGTTACTTCCTGTAGGCGTGGTCAGCCTGATGGACCTGGCAGGTCGCTCAGAGGAATGCGAGAAGGAAACGTCAGGGAGACTCACCAGAACACAAAAAGACAAAGCAGAACAGGAAAACCTAAAATCCGCCAAATCAGACCACTGTAAAAGGAACAACCACATTATGGATTGGGACGGGGCTCGGGTCATTGGATCGGAAAACAACAAGTTCAAACGCTGGATCAAGGAGGCCATTGAAATCAGGAAACGAGGCACGGACAGAATTAACCGTGACGACGGCGCGTTCCTCCTTTCACACACCTGGGACACCCTCCTCCAGAGACACCGGGCGACGGGAGGCGTGGTCAGTCTGAGCCACCTGCCAGGTCCATCAGGCTGACCACGCCCACAGGAAGTAACAACAGCTGATATACGACACGTCACCACCAACACCGGTGACAGTTCTGAAGATGGCTTGCAGCTAGCAGCCGAAACATGTCAACAAGGTAAACACACTTTAACTTCTTGGGTTCTTTTTAAAGACAATGCAGTAAAGTATATAAGAAGACAAAATGAACATCTTTTGCTTAAAAATAAGTCAGCCTGGGGCTGCGTGAGGGTTTTTTTGCATGTGGCCTGTGTAATCCCACACTGGTCTAGGTAGATTCCACAGTGTGTCCAGGGGCGTATACCTTTTTATGTGTTCTAGTATTTTCAGTATCGATGTCTCAAATGAGTGTCCAGTTTCAATACTAGTTTTGCTATAGATCAGTATCTGATTTTTTGTACTTTTGATGACCCCAGTTTGCACCATGCCGAACTCCACTCCGGTCTCTTACTTTGTTCTTGGGGCCTTTGTGGATTTGGGGCCATTAAAATATATGATGTTTGTCTTTCTTCTGCTCCTGTACATTTCCATTGTTGTCTCTAACGTGCTGCTGGTGTTGGTTATCGGTTTGGACCGGACTTTCCACGAGCCCATGTACCTGTTTCTGTGCACTCTCTTTGTAAACGAAGTCTTCGGCAGCTCCGTCATCTACCCTCTCCTTCTATCGCAAATCCTGGAGGACGCCCATGTGATCTCCACCACCCTGTGCTTCCTCCAGATCTTTCTGTTGTATTCTTACGGCTCGATCGAGTTGGGCACACTCGCCATCATGTCCTACGACCGCTACATGGCCATCTGCCGCCCCCTGCAGTACAGCTCCATCATGACGCCCTGTAAGATCGCGGCTCTCACGACTCTGACCTGGTTCTACTCCATATCCATGAACTTGATCTTCGTGTATGGACTGACAGCTCCTCTAAAGCTCTGTGGAAACTTCATCCCCAAAGTGTACTGCGATAACTTCTGGGTGGTGCGCCTGAGCTGCTCCGACACACGCCTCCGAAATGTCTTAGGTTTGGTGAATACGACATGTGCTCTGGTGAGTCTCCTCATGCTCATCCTGTACTCATATGGACGGATTCTTCACGTTTGTTTTAACAGCCCCGCCAGCACTCGCCGCAAGGCCCTGAGCACATGTACGCCGCATCTCGTCTCCCTCCTGAACTTCTCATTTGGGGGTTTATTTGAGATCATACAGAGCCGCTTTGACTTGAACGCCCTGCCCATTGTGCTGCGTGTCTGCTTGTCTCTGTACTGGTTCAGTCTGCAGCCTCTGATCAACCCTCTGGTCTATGGACTCAAGACCACCAAGATCCGCCTGGTCATCAGAACTCGCCTCTCCCCTAAGTGAGTCTGTTATGTGAAATACCCTCAAATAAAGGTGTTCAAATCATTTATTAGTAATCATTCAATGTGAATCTTTTGTAACGTTAATCTTTAAAGAGGGAGCAGTTTACTTCTATAAAGTATTAACGGCTAACACATGACATATTTAGATCATCAAGTTACCTTTTACTGTTTGGAAAATGCCTCATTCAGTGGAAACAACATATGTTTTAAAAGTTTAACTTGAGGTTTTGACGCTCTTTGACTCCCCTCTCCCACTTCAAAACACTATCATAACACAAGCTTAATTTTTCAAGTTGCTGTGTACAGTTTTCTATCATGTTTTTGTATATCCATCCATCCATCCATTTTCGTCTGCTTATCCGGGGCCGGGTCGTGGGGGCAGCAGCCTAAGCAGGGACTCCCAGACTTCCCTCACCCCAGACACGTCCTCCAGCTCCTCCGTTCCCAGGCCAGCCGAGAGACATAGTCCCTCCAGCGTGTCCTGGGTCTTCCCCGGGGCCTCCTCCCGGTGGGACATGCCCAGAATACCTCCCGAGGGAGGCGCCCAGGAGGCATCCGGAACAGATGCCCGAGCCACCTCAGCTGGCTCCTCTCGACATGGAGGAGCAGCGGCTCTACTCCGAGCTCCTCTCGTGTGACTGAGCTCCTCACCCTATCTCTAAGGGAGCACCCAGCCACCCTGCAGAGGAAACTCATTTCGAGCGCTTGTATCCGCGATCTTGTCCTTTCGGTCATTACCCAGAGCTCATGACCATATGGTCATGTTTTTGTATATTTAGAGAGAATTGTCATGTGGGAGTATGGGTGGCGTAGGCATGTGGGTGGAGCATAGGATAAATCCAGTGACCGATAGCACAGACTGGCAGCCTTGCTTTCGTCAGTCTGCTCCAGGGCAGTTGTGGCTACTGTAGTATTTACCACCAGCAAGTGTGGAGTGACCCTCTTTGAACCGCCACCTTAACATGGTGCAGGGGTTTGAGTGCCCGAATGATCCTGGGAGTTAAGTTGTCAGGGGCTTCATGCTTCTTGTAGGGTCAACTAACACAAACAGGTCCTGGAGGGCAGGTCAGACTCAGAGCGATTCAGAAGCCCCCATTGATGAGCAACACACAGAGGCCAGCGACGTCACCTGGATTGGAGTTACTGGGGCCCCATCCTGGAGCCAGGCCTGCGGTGGA